ACACAAAATGGCTCGTTCCACACACACACACAGAGCCAAACTTTAATGAAACACAGAGACCCAGACGTAATAGTACTGTATAATATTATTTTCGAATCAATAATTTTTAAAACATTTTTTTTTTATTTTTTTTAAAAAAATTTTTATAACCATTTTTCCTCCTGGTCTCTCGCGCCCCCCCTGTCATGCCTCTGCGCCCCCCTGGGGGGGCGCGCCCCCCACTTTGAGAACCACTGCCTTAAGTGAAGGGAGCGAGTATTGCCATGACGTGCAATACGAAGTGATAGGTCTTCCTGTCTGAACTTGCGCTGAGCTTCATGACTGTAATTATGAATCAGGAGTGCAGCAGTTAAACACAAATACGGACAACAGAGGAGTTCCCTTTACCATCAGATAGCAGATCCAACCTGCAGTCTGATTGGATTGTGCCCGAGCCTAAAACCACTGTAAACAGGGCACATTTAATTATAGTCGGGCCAAAGACTGTATAAATAAAGAGTGGGACTGTTAAACTGCTTTTCAACAATACAACAATCTGTTGGCAGGCAAAGACTACGTGTAAAGGTAGGATGTATCCATTGTGTTATGGCAAACTTTCAGGGAAGTTTCTTTTCTATGTTATACAAACAATAACCAAAAAGGTAAAAAGAATTAGGGTCAATTCTAGCTTTCAAAATGTACAAAAATGCAACAAAAATATAATTGACAAGAAGCAGAAAACTAACAAACCAGCAGACAACAATCTTATTCAAAACTTTTCAATAAATGAAAAATAATATTTGAGAACAGGAAAAAAAAACAAAAAACATAATATACAAGAAATGTACATGTTGAATGTGTTCAAGTTGATAATGGAGAAAAAGTCCAGAACATATTCTCATATGAACACACACATCTGACATATTTATTGTATGACGTAAATATATATTTATAAATATATATTAATGTCATACACAAAACAAATGTTCAGTTTTCTGTATCGTGAAACACAATATTTAAAATGATCAAACCTCACAAATAATTTTGGCAGCAAATACAGTTTATGAACATTTGAGGGGTACACCAAAGAATAATGTTTTTTCAATGTCCCTTTGTAACTTACTGCCAAGTTGTGCAGTATTTGTGACTGATACACCAGCACATCCGTTTCTTATTCTTTTGAAAAGTTGTCAGTTGTGGGTTTTTAAGAGGTCTCTTAAAGAAGATATACTTATTATTGAAATTCTGTATAGTTTAAGTCAGGATTGGAAATAATTCTATGATAAAATAACAAAAGTAGATATATCTAGACATAAACATCCGGAGGATGAAATTCGAGGCCTTATGTGTAAAGTGAGTTCTGGTTAAGTGCAATAAAGTTTTACAAAATTCTATCTCAATATTCTATAATATCTGTCTCATCACCAGTTTATGATTTTCCTCAAACGTCCCCACAGCTTAGTGAGCCACAGGTTTACCCCCAAGTCTGTTAGATATTGAATTTCCGGGGTTAAAATCTTTCGGCACAACTCCTCATAGGCTTTATCTACATTTCTGTTCAAATTGTATCCTTCAATAGACTTCTCTCCAACGGGCTGCCACGGCTGCATGGCAGCATCATGAATACTTCCAGCCTCCACAGAGTGGCCTCCCTCAATGCAAATCTTCACCAGTTCTGCGTTCCTCCTCCTGAGCTCTTCAACATCCTCTTCCATTTGTTTTCTACCGTAAGCCTCTACCTTCTCCCAAAAGGTCAGGTTAAAATGTTTATAGAGCTTCCAGTCTATGCTGTTCCACTGCAGGGCCTTTTCCCTGAGCTCAGGAGTTAGTTTAGGTACAGTGGATTTCATACGGGAGTTGAGCTTGAAGAAGAGTATGTCATCCATCTCCCAGTAGAGGGCATCTTTAAACAGGATAAGGGACTCCTCAAAGTGCTCCATCAGCATGACTAAGTGAAAACGCTCAGAGATGACCCTGACGCTGTCCTCTACTCGTTGGTCATCTGCATCCAGAGTGTTGTCCTGCCCAAAGTCAAAGAACAACAGGTTCTTCAAGTAGAAGGAGCTAAATCCGCCCGGGCTGAAGTATTGTTTAGGATCACGCAGGAACTTGGCCATCTTATCCTCCCCTGGTATCCACCAGGTCAGAGGAACAGCATGACCAAAGTAATGAAATGAGGACTCAAAGAGCTCTGCGGGATCTCGCAGGATCGTCGTGTAGAAAGCGTCACGAGGCAGCACTTTTGCCACCTCAGGTGCATTGAATCGCATGTGGTTACACATGATGTTAAAACACCTTCCAGATTGGTAGCCCTGAACGTACGTGCGCTGGAAATACGAGGGGTAGTAGAAATCGTTCCGGCTGTTTGGGAAGGCAAATTTGAGATTGTGCTTCTCTCCAAAGCGTAACAAGATGTTGATGAAGGTACTGCTGGCAGTTTTATGGGTCTTCATAAACATGATATCTACTTTAGGAGCACAGACGGTATTGTCTTGCTGCGAGCTGTTTGTGTTTTCCCTGCTGCTGCTCTGGCCCGTTCGTGAAGAACAGGAGAGAGGCACTGGGAGCCTGGATAAAATCAACATGGGGAAATTATTAAGTGTCACAATAATGTATCACAGCTCATTTATAGAGATGCACTGACAACTAGAATATAAACCTCTGGGAAGTGAGATTTACAGTGAAGAAAAAACAAACACATTTTTGTCTTATTTTTGTTTGTATCCACGATTTGTTCAAATGTGTAGATATCCATAGTTTTCAAGGATTCATCAATGCTTTCATATTCATAAACTTCTCTTAAGAGCACATAACTGAATGGGAAATCTGTAATAAGAAGGAAAGATATATTGTTTCCATTATTATTCATCACTGCTTATTTTGTCCAATATTTATTTATTTATGAACATTTTTGTATTACACATCTTGCAGCCAGTTCAACAAAGTCGTATTTTTACAGTCGTTTGTTTTCCTTTTTGTTTGCATTTACATCAACAGTGATTACTTTAGTGATTAGTGAATAGTAGCAATAAATCAATTATTAGGTAAGGATGGTTGCTTTGGGGCAACCACAGTTTTGTCAGTACTACGTCATCTGTGGAAGCCGTAGTACTGTAAAAAGCACGACCAATCATTTTAGCCGGCCCGGCTAAAATAACTGGATGGCCTACCTGCCTGTCAGCCTTCCATCTGTGCACAAACTTATCTCGTGCCCTCATTTGTCATGTGCGCGTTCGTGTGTGTTGAAGGAGGAGCTCTGTAAGGAAGTCTGAAGGAAGAGGCATATTTTTTCCGGTTGTTTACTTTCAAATTCTAGCGCACTCGAGCTGGTTTCTCCAAAATTACATACCCCACCTTTAACCGCTCAGAGACCCAGGTCGTCGCACGCATCCCTGCTTGTCTAGCTGACATCTCTCAGTGGATGTCTGCTCATCACCTCAAGCACAACCTTGACAAGACTGAACTGCTTTTCCTTCCGGGAAAAGATTGTCCCACTCTTGACCTAAAGGCCCTGACACACCAGGCCGAAATCAGCCGTTTTCGTTAGTCGGACAACGAAGCGTGCCCTATCGCCCAAACTCAATTTGGTGTGTCCCGCACCTTCGGCCGTGACACGCCTTATTTGGCCTTTCATGGCCGAC